GTAAGCGAATGATCGTCTAAGACACCGTGGGACCATAAATTTTGCTTCATTAATTTATATATACAAATACAAATACACCTGTATTTACAAATAAAGGTGTATTTGTAAATACAGGTAAATAAGAAGAAGATATAATAGTGTTGTATTGCGATGACTTTATTTTTCATGCTAATTAGATATTTCCGGGGCAACATATGAATTAATGAGAATTTGTTAATAAAGTACGTCAATTTCAGCAAAGATGGATAAGAGTATCGTCTATTATGAGATAGCATGACATCATAACCTGAATTAATCATTTCCATAACGATGCTGAATTATTTTTGATACCAGGTGGCTGGATTTGCAAAAAAAAATTACACTTTTAAGGGTTCTCTTTGTGATGTGTGCGCGTCACATTTCCATTTTTCACGGCAATGGACGTGTTTATTGTCCTTTAATCTGCATTAAAATGGACCTCAGTGAAGTTTTAATGAATTTACTGCTCGTAATTAAGTCGTGACGACAATCCCGGCAAAGCTGCCGCTCAAAACTGTCCAATAAGAATACCAACTGCCAAGCAACACACTGCAATGTCCTTTGAGCAATGAAGTTCACGATTAAAAACTAGGTTTTAATCAGGCACTTGCTGAGTTTTTGTCAGCCTCGTCTGACATTACACTGGCCTTTGATGAAGACCTTGTCATAGTCAATTGCGCATGCATGCCGGTCTTCAGACAGCTTCTTGACTGTCAAACGCCTTCGTGAACTGTTAAACGACATAGGAAGACATTTTCCTCGATGTTTTGTGTAGGTGAGAGTAATTCTTCCCCTTCCATGTAGATATCGCTGCAACCATCGCCTGATGGCCGGAAAGATAAATTTTGATCAACATCGAGCCTAAAGCAATAAGTTGAGGTTGAAATTAAAGTTGGATTACGCTTGAGGATTGGGTTCTGATGGCCAGTCTAAGATTTGCCCGGCAGAATCAGAAAAAGATTGCTGTATAATTGTTTGGCCATTCGTAGCCCAAATTTGTGACGGCATAATAAAATTAAAAGGCATGTGGGAAAAAATAAGTCTCATGCATCCAACTAATAAAAAAATTCAATTGAGTGATGATACTATATTTGATTAAAAGGAATAGATTTCAGAAACAACATTTATGCGCATTTTCGCTGAACATTATTCGAGCATATAAACAAATGATTTGGTCTGTTACGAAAAGGTGCAATCTATTTCATAATCATCCAATAAGTTTCTTTCTTTCAAAGTCATTTTATCAATAAAATGTGACATGAACGATAAATAATTGGGTCTATTTCAATGATAGTTTGAAGGAGCGCTATAGGCGATAGGTCACGTTGACGGAAGCAATGCATTCCTCTATCGAGGTGACCAAGAGGGATGGCTGAGCTCTTCATCTTGCGGACAGCTTGAAATGTTCGCCAGGGCCGATCGCTATTGGAGTATCGAACATCGCTGCCTCTCGGAAAATATTGAAAACTATGAAACTAAACCAGGGTCTTAGAATGTTAGTTTAAAAATTCCTATGAGTATGATGTTAGTCAGGCCAAGGGTCCTAGAATGTTAGTTTAAAAATTCCTATGATGTTAGTCAGGCCCAGGGTCCTAGAATATTAGTTTAAAAATGCCTATGATGTTAGTCAGGCACGTTTTAATCTATTTTCGTGTATTTTTAATAGATTCAGAACATGGGGAAACGATTTATCAACCATACTGGATTTATAATACAGTTTTGAAACTCAAAATTTCCCAAGTAAATCGAATGTTCATAAAAAATTTAACTCCTTCACTGAATCGAGCTATAACGAGATTTGAGATTATGAATTTTTATGTAAGAAGCCAATATCGCAAGCTTATAGAAGTATTCATTAATAATTCTGTAATTGCGATATGTTATAATAATAATGTCATTAAAAATATTTAAATCGTTATTCAAGAAAATCAAGATAACTTGAAAAAATATTTTAGTTTGTTAATTCAGTTCATTCGACCGGATTTGCCTAATATAAAAGATAGTTAAATTCTACATGTATTTTCATAAATATGGTAGTTTCTCTAAGTTTCTGTAAGATAAAGTCGAGAATAACTATAAAAATTAATTTGTTTTGATAGCTGATCATTGATATTACTACTCGGTCGTCTCAATTAGCCAGAAACCACCAGAATGCCGAAATTATTTCAGTGTAATGTAATTATTTCAAACCAGTCTCAGATTACTGAAATATCCATATTTATAGTCGATGATATTTCGTAATCCCGATATGAAAGAAGCGTCACAAGTCAAATTCACATCTGATTGATCGATTATGAACCTAATTTAAATCTGTATAATGATTTAATATATTTTAGTGCGAGCCAGGACGATGTCAACGGACCAAATTTGACTCAATCGGTTAAGCAATGGATCACGCGTCACTGGCTGTCTGTGATGTTTCGATTTAAGACGCTTTTATAGCCTATTTCTGCAATCAAAATTCATCAATAACATCTCAAACCATGAGGTTACAGACTACATATCGAATAAATGAACAAAATATTGTGTTTTTCTTTCACTGTGAATGGAACGTATTATGTATAACATAATATATTAAAAATTTAACACGCGTATTGTTGAGTGGCTTCCGATTGAGAAAGCCTACGGGCCTGACTCGTAATATTTAAGAATCTAAACGCATAAATCTACATGTGTCGAATACCTTTTTGCCTTTTAATGGACTATTTAATTACAATGTCCGTCACTAAGCATATTATGTAAAAACTGCTCAAAATAATAATATAGCATAATTCAGGTATAGTATGATAATAAAAGGATGACTTAACCATTTTACGTGCCAAAACTAGGGCCAGATCGAAATAAGAATACGAAACGCGAACTCTTATTTTTGAATTCCGTGAAAATTTGTACAGGTTTATATGCGGGCCTTCCAGCTATCTTTAGGCTATGATAATTTTTTATTTTACTTTATTCATTATTTATCCGGCTATTTACAAATCACGATGAGCCTATTTTAGTTTCAAAACTACTGTACAGATATGAGCAAAATGTATGAACAAAATGTACGCTCCCGTCGGTGCCTTAGGTCGTGTGTCATTTTTATGTTATGACTTATACAAGTTATACAGTTATAGTGACAACTGTTGATTTCGTGCGAAAAAAGGAAGCCTTTTTAACGTTTGTATCTTTTTCCGGAAATACATGGCTGAATTAAAGCAAAAAAATATACTGTGCGAATTGCCTTAGCGACCGACGGTTCAGAATTTACCGATCTTATCGCAGAAGCCAGAAGAAGTGGAAATTAGTTCTTTTCAATTTCAGTATTATTTAACCAAATTTATCTTATGGAGGGTATTCTATGTCGCCAAAGTTGGAACAAACTTAAGGTTATTCAATAAAAAAATTAAAATTATTACGACAACATGATAAATATACAGTGGGGGGAAATAAATATTCGTACACTTGAAAAACTGTATTTTAATGTATGCAAGTACACAAACTTAACAGGAAAAGTGATTTAAATTATGTATAGAAACGCATAGTATTCAAAAATACTATCAAAAGAAATTAAATCTCAATGCAACAAAAAACAATGCAACATGTTCACTTCTCGGGGTGAAAAAAGTATTCGTACAAAACAATAAATCCGCATTATTTTAATTTAATACTTGGTTGAATACCCTTTATAAAGGGTATTCAACCAAGTATTAAATTAAAATAATGCGGATTTATTGTTTTGTACGAATACTTTTTTAACCCCGAAAAGTGAACATGTTGCATTGTTTTTTGTTGCATTGAGATTTAATTTCTTTTGATAGTATTTTTGAATACCATGCGTCTCTATACATAATTTAAATCACTTTTCCTGTTAAGTTTGTGTACTAACATACATTAAAATATGATTTTTCAAGTGTACGAATATTTATTTCCCCCCACTGTATATACCAAGCCAGGTGTGCGATAAAAAAGCTGGAGATGTTTGTTACAAAATTACGAAATGCTTAGAGAGCACAGATGTGAAGGAGAGAGCTCATAGTTTAACAATATAGCTAGTTCCATGGGGAGAACTTGAGTGCTGGCGGCGAGCTGCGGCAAATTAGTGCGGACAGCAATGACGGCGACGCGGACGCCGGCTTCGGTCAGCAAGTTTCGCACTTGTGTGTGCTTACAGCGGGTGTGGTGGATAGCTAGAGGTCAGCATAGCCCAAGTCCACAGTGCGATTCATATACCTTCCCGACTCCCGAGCGTAACGCAGCCGGGCATCTTCACGGCTTTTGACACAAAGCGCCCACCACAACAGCGCCGTTCAGTCACAGGCCCTACCGGCTACCGCAACTGCGCAACAGCTACTGAATGTCTTTACTGAGTTTGGCCTCGTTGAACCCTCAAATATTGTGTTATACAAGATTTTAATGCGGTACTCCTAATCCTAACGTCCTAACCTACGCCGCCTGTTGCGGTAGGGCCTGTTGCGCTCCGGCATATCCACAGCTCATTGATCTGAGGCTATGTGTAGATATTGCATGCTGATGGTTGGCGTTGGGTGGCTTGGGCCTAGGGCCTGTTTACGAGTCAATTTTGTTACCCACGGCTGCACTCCCCAGCGGGTGGTCCGGGGTGGATAGATCATAGGATTCATAGCTAGAGGTCATCGGAATGATCGGATTCATATAGGTACCTACCTTCCCCGAGGCCAGAGCGTAGCAGGCCTGCCGGGCTGCCCGAGATACCTAATTGGTTCTAGACTCTGGAATTGATTGGTGATGTGAGAATTAATTTTAATGAATTTTTGAAAAAGAAAAGAATTTAGGTAGCCTTAACTATCTAATTTATTCCAGGAAAATTTATTTACTATGTGGAAGTAATTGATGAGCAAGAAATTAGTACAGCTAGTAAAATAATTGTAATGTATGGATTGTATGCAAAACTAAAGCAATAAAAGTTTTCTATAATGTAAATAAAACCTTGACATTGTTTGGTGTGTGATTCTAAACTTGAACGTTTCAATGTTTTCAGAGCTACAAAATCAATAAACTAAAGTCAAAGCTCACTCAAAAATCTAGTTAGGCCTATGGCTTGGAAAGTACCTAGATATTTTTCATGCATGACATTTATTTTACAAATACTTGATTCATGTCACTGTCAGAGTGTCATAGACTCCCAGTTCTGTAATTTTTTGTTTGCAGTTGACAAAAAGCCATTATGTTCCCTTTTTTATATCTAGAGAATGATATCCAGCAGTCTTAATTTCCCTCTCTCGACAACCCAAACTAGAAAATGCCACCTGCCACTTATATATAAATGAGATGAAAAAGCCCATGATTGCAGACAATATTACCTATTTCTATGGCCCTTGCCCAATTCCTTCAGTGAATATTAAGAAAAACAGTACATTTTTTACTTGCAATTTTTAAAAAATACCTGCAAAACAATCACTTTTACTGTACTTTTTTGGACATTTTTGCCGGATGTTCAATATTGGTTACCAACTGCCATAGCATTCTTACTTGGAAATTCATACTTATTTTTGAAGTTTCCAATAACCCAAACAAACAAATATATATTCTGGCTACGGTATCTAATAATTTTTCAATTCTAAAAACCTCATAGGTAAGTACATTATATGATTATCATATTGCAAGTAACAAATAAAAATTGATTTATCCAACAACAAAAATGACCACTGCTGCTGTTAAAGAAAAACTATGGGGCGAGTTTGAAGACAGCAACGATGATCCTTGGTAAGAAATCATTAGGTTTGTTGATGTGACGTTGTGATTAAAATTTTGACTTGAATTGCTCATTTGCCTAACAAACCTAGCAGACAGCTACAAATTATACTAGTTTTTTTTTTTTAAATACAGACACAAATTCAATATTAGTAGTGATTGTTCATAGACCCTTCCCTTTCTGCTAAAGGTAAATATATAATGTGATGCTGTCTTTGTAACTTGTAGGGTGAAATTTATTTTGAAATAGTGTTGAAATAAGTGGTATGCGACATGTGTAAAGGGTATTGTTACATATTGGAGCAATACATACCATATGCCCCATGATACTCATATGTACGGGACCACTTTGGTGATAATATGACTGACCAGTTATATATGACTCCAATTGACTCAAAATTTATAATCCCTTCAGTGGTATAAACTGTTTTGAGAAAATATTGAGGTCTGACTAATACCATACATCACTTGTTCATTTTTGCTGATCTGAAAGTATAATCAGAGACATATAGGTATATATGTAGATACATTTATTTTTTATTTTATTTTATTGTTTTTTAATGCTGCAATCCTAGCACAAAATATACCGTAGAATGCAAGATCATGTTTTTCATTCACCATTCATGCTGTAACAAATGCTAATTTTTATTTACAACTTCAATATTGTTCATTTCCCATCTAATGTTTGACTGCATTCAATGGAGAATGCAAGATAGTTTGTGTACTACTGTACTGTTTTTTAATATGTATTGTCTGGAGTAAAGCTTGAGGTATGGTCAACATAATGTTTACATAACAGATTGAACTAATTAGGCTCTTCCAAAGTTTTATTCAATCTGTTCCAAAGTTTTGTTCAATCTGTTTTCTCCACATTTTTGGCTAGCCAAGATCTAGTTTAAGTAGGTATACAGTATTTCTTGTTGGTAGATGAGCATGTCATAGTAACAGTTTCTTGTATTGTTGCAAGGGGTGACCACAGCTTCGTGTTGAGTGACTATGAGGAGCTCCTGACTCCACGGTCTTACCCCCCTGGCTCCACTGCTCTTCATCAGCCGTCTCAACAGCTCACATCTTCTTTCCAAATGCATGTAACTTTCCATCCACTGCATAATATGATTAACTTATATTTTGTCTTGATTTTTTTGCAATTTTGTATCAATGAAATGAAAGACTATATATGAAGTTTATGAACTGTAGAACTATTGTTGAAATTGGCTTCAAATATTTCTGTTAACATGAATAAAAAAAATATATATATATTTCAGGGCTGCTGAGGGAAGTACCTACTAAAGAGTACTCTTGTTATGAATGTACATATTTTCTAATAAGGAAGTGATCATAATGTATTCAACTAATTTTTTTATGAATTGAAACAAATACCTTCTAAATTATATTATGTGTAAATTTGCAAATTAAGGTTTTTTTGTCTCAAAAATGATTTTCTGTACCTACATAAAAACCTGAAATGTTGTGCTTGGATTATGACTATCAGAAGAAAAAGAGGATGATATGGTTTTTCTGAACCATTATACTTATGTTGAATCAGACCTTTGATGTGAATTTTTTCATCACTTCTTTATTTGATTGATAGAATTTTTTTGGTTTAATGTTGATTGATTCATTATGTAATTTGTACTACTTGAATATTAATATATGAAATCTCTGCAATGTAGGTATAATTGTTTGATCATTCATGAGGATTTGCCTTGAAATCTTGAGAATTCACTCAACCGATTCATTGTGATCATTACAGGAGTTTACTACTATTTTTACATTATTATTAAGCACTTGTAATATTGTCCTTGTTTACAGATTGAGTGGTGAGCTGACACGTTCAGATGTCACTGTTCAGAACACTATTCGTCTGCTGCAACACACGCGGCATGTGGCACAACTCATCAACAGAGCCCAAGTAAGACTGAGTATTAACCATGTTAAACTTACACAGTTGACATAGCAAAGCTCTGAGTCACTGTTTACTAATGTATCAATAAAACATATTGCTCGGTAAAACAAATTGTGTTGTACAGGTCAAAGATGTGTGTTACATACTGTGCAGGTATTTACAGGGTTATTCAGTATTCACAGAAACTTCCTGATTTGAAAGCTCAATAACAAAAGAACTAGTAAAGATATCATTATAATATAAATTTAACTTAAAAAGACATTACCTGAATTCTTGTATCACTTAGTTTTAAGGGTGACATTGGACAAATGAAGGCCCCTATTGTCAATGCATTCAGTTAGTTGATTTTTAAAGTTCTGTTCAACTTGCTGAAGCATATAGATGGGTGTGTTAGCAATGGCTTGGCGTATGTTGTTCTTCAAATGAGGTGGTGTCCTTGGACAGTCATTGTAAACAGTTGATCTAAGATACCTTATAAAAATCACATGGAACCAATTAGGGGGATCGGGCCGGTCAAAGAATGTTGCCTCTCAAGGAGATGAGGCGCTCTGCTAAATGTTGTCTCAGAAGAACCATTGAACACCGCGCTGTGTGGGCCGTGGCTCCATCCTATTGGAACAAGCCATACCTGACATTCATTTTAGTCAGATTTGGGAAAGAAAAGTCATCAATCATTTGCGTGTACCAAGCTGCAGTCACTGTTACTGCGCTTTCATTTCCTCAAATGAGGGCTGACATTTGACACCGCACACCACATAGTTATGCGTTCGCAATGAAGTGGCCACTGAATGAGTTCAAGCAGATTGTTATCACTCCAAGAACGCACATTTTGCTTATTTATTCTGCCGGAAATGTGGAAGTGAGCCTCATCGTTAAAGAAAACGACTGGATCATGAGGCAAGTTTTCAAAAAGCGCTTCACATGCATTTTGGTGGGCAACAAAATTGTTATTGCCACAGTCGTTTTTTTAGTTCTTGTGCCAGTCAATTTGTAGGGATAACATTGCAGTTGTTTGTCGAATATTCATACCTCACTGTTATTCAAAATCCCAAGAATAGAAGCGTGTTTATGTGCTGTACGGTGTGGAAAACGCAGAAACACCTCTAACTCTCACTACGTTTTTGGGTGCTGTGGCAGTCTGCTTACCTGACCCTCTTGCATTCATACTGCCTCATTCCCTAAATGTGTTCTCCCACGTAATAATCAATTTTTGATCAGAAACGCGACTTGATCAGAATTCTTGTTGAGTAGCGGTAATGGAACGGCCAATTGTAAAATATGCCTCGACAGCAACCTCATGCTGCTCATTTGTCTAATGCATAGAAGAAAATGACTGACTAGGCTGGACACAAAACTTCATAACCATGCCTACCTTATAAAATGTTCCCCGCCATTTTCCTGCAACATCTGGCTGCTTGGCACGCAATACAAAACATGAAGTTTCCGTGAATCACGCTTACAATAAAACATTTCACACACCGTCAACCAAATTGTGAACTTGTGACAGGTCAAAGATATGTATCACTGTAACACATGTTGCACTATCAACCAAAATATATTGTACAGGTCAGAGATGTTCTTCATTGAGAGTGAATGTTTACAATAAATCATGTTGCACCATCGGCAGAATTGTATTGTACAGGTTACAGCTGTGAGACAGCATTATGTACAATAGGTAAAACACATAGCACTTCCTACCAAATTGTTTTGTTTATGGGTAGCAAAGCCAGCGTCCCTGTTAAATTATAATTTATCACTTGAATTTTGCAGAGTCTGGCCAACAGTGGGAGTGACTCGGCCTCGTCGCTGCCTCCATGTCCCGCCATGCCCGCCGAGATGCCCCTCACCCGTGCCCCCCTTGGTGTTCAGCCTCTCAATTTCCTGCTACCTCAAACCACGTAAATGCATTAATGTTTGTATTGAAATTCTGGAGTCCCTGAGTTTAAAACTATTTTTTTCCTACACAATTTTTCCATAAATATACACTTACCTACGTAGTTGCAGTGCGTGATAATAAACGATGTTAAATTCTTCATAAAATTAATAAGAATATGATCAAGCCTTCTGTGCAAGTGGCGATCATTACAACAGCGTTCAATTTGTTTTTATTCTTCGCACACAAGCAGCCAATAAGTAGAAGATATTTCTATGTATATCAGCAACACTAAAATTGGTCAAAATTATTTACTGTCAGTGGTGGAAGTTAATACGTTACCTAAATTATTTTATTATTGCAAGTAAAGAACATTTTGGGACTGAAGGAACACAAGGATGGGACAGGCTTTCATTAAATACTCAAGCATGAATAGCAAAGTAAATTTTCTCGGCTCTTTGATGGAATTGGCTTAAATATTTACAGACAAAATAACAAGATAAATTATATCCACTCAGAAAATTTAGAGGAGTACTCTCGACTTGTACTGTGGATGAGAGTGATGGAAATATTTCCAAAAAGGGATTTCTTCATGATATAGTAGAATAATGATAATATTAGTGGAGATATTTGAAGTCTGCTTCTCAAGGATCATGCCAGTTTTTCTCAAACTTTTGTAGTTCAAGAACGGTGTTGCACCTCATACATTAACCCATTGTCTATTAACGGAAACCCTTATTTTCAGGCCTCTAGATATGATTAACTGTGATGTCTGTTTTTGTATCTGAAGGCAGTTATCTGAAAAACTTGATTACTTGAAGAAAAATTTGTTTCAGGGCGTTCACCAGCGGGGAAGAAGGCGGCTTGCAGCTGCAAATCGAGCACGGGACGGCGCGTAAGATGCTGCGTCAGGCCGTGGCTCTGGTGCTCGTACATGCGGGCTTCACCGACTCCTGCGAGACCGTCCTGCGCACCTTGACGGATCTCATGCACGACTTCCTCACCAAGCTCACCAAGACCTACAGGACCAACGTTGATAACTCCATCCTCAACCTGGGCTACTCGCCTTTCCACGTCAGTCAACATTTGTGCTTGATCATTCCGTGCTGCAACTCTCAAATGAGTGTCACTTTCTCCTAAATAATATGTCGTCACTTGGTTATGTCTCTCAGTCATCCATTTTGGGGCTTGAAAACTGTCATAAAAAATAGGATAAGAATTTTTAAAAGTAATTGTTTAATATTAGACTTCAAAAGGTGTGAATAAATTTGCTAATAGAGAGCACTTTCATCAGGATGTGCTGGAGCAGACGCTGCAGGAGATGCACCTTGGTGGCCTGCGTGACCTGCACACGATGTACATGGAGCGCGTACAGAATTACCACAACCTCGTTAAAGCCAACGCACTACAACTCACCAGTCATTACAGTGCACTTATTAGTAAGCAGCAACAGCAAAAACAACAACAACAGCAGCAGCCTCAACATCAAGTTTTGTGAGTAACTTATTATCCTCCCTCGTATAAGTTGTTCATTCTAAATAAAGTGACTGAAATCTCATGTTGTTCCATCTAGTTCCTTAGTACTTGTGATTTTTTGAATATGCTGGAGCATAACTTCGGTGGCGCACCCAGCGTAACGCGTTTCATATCAGGCGCTAGGCGGAAATCAAATTAAGTGTATTCGTCATTGCTTTGATGTTTGTTCATTTCATATCAACATGTGTGCTTCGATGTTTGTTCATTTCATATCAACATGTGTGCTTCGATGTTTATTCATTTCATATCAACATGTGCGAAAAAGTCTCTTTGCTGAAGAATTTACACACGGGACTCGTAGAGTGCGAGTTACTATGATCTGAGTTTTATTGTGTAACTGAATTATTAAATGTTAAAGAGACTGCTGTGAAGGCAAGAGTGCGTCTATTGATGGTTGTAAAATCCTTACTAAAATACCACATCCCATTCAATGACAACGTACTGATAGATATGCGTATCTTTCTAATTTCTGGCACGTGTGATGGTTTAATATCTTATAATATTGTTAGTTTCAATATGAAAACGTACTGATAGATTTGCGTATCAGTCTAATTTGTGGCACGTGTGATGGTTTTAATATCTTATAATATTGATGGTTTTAATATGACAACGTACTGATAGATATGCATATCAGTCTAATTTGTGGCACGTGGTCTCAGATGGCAGTCAAATGGCAGCAAGAACGGCTCGGCGACCGCCGTACCGTTCAGCACCGTGCTGCCCACGGCCGGCGGCGGCAGCATCAACATCACAATCGGTGTGACTTCTTCTCTATCGCTCTTTGCTGCTCATCTCGCATCTAATTCAAAGATTTTGTTGAGCATATGGAAGGTGGCTACTAAAAGCGAGAATATCACACGTTAAAACCACTTGGATCAGGCAAATCATAAATTAACAAAAATCTGGAAGCTAAGCATATGTTAAGAAAATCAAACGTATTTCTAGTTAAAACGTTTCTTAGACTAGCTCTAGCATTCATTGCGTGATATCATTTCTAGGAGATGCACAATATATGAGCATATTGGGAGAGTAGAGCCCATGCAAAGCAAGTAATCTCATAGTATAGGTGATCTCTCATAGCATCAGTACTTTGAAAATTAATTGCTAACATGATGTGTTTTTTTTTAATTGCTTGCTAATAACAAATTCTAGTTTCTTCCTATTTCCTAACCTAGCAAACAATTTTAAAATAATTTGGACGTTTTATATAGGTTTCTAAAGATAGAACAATTTGAGTCCAAATTTTATGTCATAAATAGGAAATATTAAAAATAAATTGAATAGCAAATATACAATCAAAGGAATTTAAATTAGAATTTTCGTTAATAGTAATTAATCAAATAATTAATCTGATCACGTTAATATTGTTGAATAAATTCAAAGTAATTAAATCGTAATTAAAATGAACTTTCAGGAGCTTTACCCGGGACAGCTAGCATCAACTTTCCCAACATGACTGCCTGCACCTCGGCTGACAGTCCGAGCTCTACTGAATTCATTACGGCAGGTATGTACCTTCTTACTGTATATTGCGAGTACCCAATACGTACAGGTTACTGAATAAAGTGCAGCTGATAATTTTGTCATACATATCTGGAGTGTAACAAATTTCTACATCGTAATGAAGCAAAATTATTATTCATTTATTATACGATCTATAATTCCTCACTTTAGTGAGGTAATCTTGGATGGAACAAATTCTTCCGCAATTATTCATATCTTATCTGATTTATTTGTTATTTCGAAAAATGACTGTTAAATTTAAGTCTCATTGTAAACCAATTAACGCAGTTCATTTCTATTGGACCCGAGTAGACGCCCCACGCGGAGGTCGGTCGTCGCGGTTCAGCAGCGGCGGGAGGAGCGCCACGCCCACCAGCAGTTCCGGCCTGGTCAACTTGGAACAGGAGATGAGTCGCCAGTACACTCCTGTATCTTTACAGTGCGTCTAATTCTTTAGCATTAAGCTATCACAATTATGTATTTCAGTGTAGGGTGCACTGAGCATTTGTATGTTTTTCCAAAATAAAACATTGCCATTATTTCACTTAGTATAATGAAATGAGCATTTGTCTTGATGCGCGTGACTTTTCGAATCGTGCTTAAGAAATTGTTATCAACGTTAGGTACCACATTTGTGCACATGCTTTAGAAGTGTTTGCATTTATTTGTACTTCTGTCAATTCTTTCAAGCAATGATGAATCTAAATCGTTGTCATGTTTTTCCTTACGGAGCTCTTTATATTTTGACATGTATGTGCCTTATTCTGTTTCAATTTGTATGTTCTCTAATAATGATACTAGAATAGTTATTATTTATGAGATTACATTCCGAGTGTAAAGGAACATTTATTGAGCAGGAACGACACCGACGGGCGTAACCAGAACTCTCCTCTGTCGGCACATTTCTCACGCACGCAGCAGAGATGAAGCATCCACGTTATTGCGCCTTGAAATCTTATTCCTTTGTGAATTTCCACTTAAACTATTATTCGGGTGGAGGTCTATAGCAAGTATTAGGAATGAATCTCGTTATTATACTATGATATAACGGCTGTTGTATAAACAATTTATAGATGCACAGCCGATGACCGTGTATCTAAATGATTTATAGATCTATATGACTCGTCCAAGGACATTACAGACTTCAAAGCGTAAAATAGCATTAATATTTGATCAAATCGTCAGAATTCCTGAACGGATTCAAGTACTGAAAAACAGCCACAGTATTTTCCGATTTTATTGTGAGTAATTATTCGCGCGTAATTTCCATGATGTTACTTGTGAAAAATCCTAACGTATGCGTTTCGTAAAATAAATTAAATGTCATAGTAGAAACAAATATTTTAATTATCATTCACGTCCAACACGAGAAACTCAACAAAATAAACTGGAATATCTTTTTTAAAACTCGTATGTTGTTACTTCTTCTTGCCCTTGCCTTTCTTCTTCTCTTCTTGCTTTTGCTTAGGCTGCGTTCGAGACTTGAGCTGAGGAATGCTCTGAGCGATGAACCTGTAGATATCCTCTCGACGCCTGCGGAAAAAATCGGAGAACTCTTCCTATCAATTGTAGTCATAAACGTGTAGATTTAAGTCGTATCAATTCAGAAAAAAAAAATTTCGCGGGATCTTGTCACGAGAAATCTTCATTTAACTAGGCAACAAAATGAAAAGCCTTATTCATCCCAGGCACTGTGCACAACATGATTATATGCAAATACATGTTTCATTTCATAGAATAAGTTCAACAGGAACTCGAACAACAATAATGAAAAACACTCTTAGGATAAGTAACTGTTGAAATGTTTGCCATATGCTCACGTGAACTGCTCGTTGATGATGTTGCCGTCGCTGTCTTTCATCTCGACACGAATGCGCCCGTAGTTGTAAGGTTCTTTGCTCCGCTCTCGCGGGTGTATTCTATTTGGCTCACCTATCACCTGATATAATTCACAATAATTCGAGCAGCCGTTGTCAGAAACGCTTTATACTTGTTTAATTACTTAAAACATACTCAAGACATTACATCAGGCTAGCACTGAATATGCAAATAGCATTTAGTGGTATGTTATTAGAACCAAAATCAGTCAGTTCAAATAACATGAGAGATTGATACAAAGCTTCCACATCTTGAGAATTCCTTGACTGCAAATTGCATTACAATTCAAACTTTGCACTTGCGGGCCTGTTTAAAATACAGCTCTCGACTCACCTGCAATCCAGTTCCTTGCATCGCTTCCATGAGCTCAGGTAAAATTGGATGCTTCACTGCCTGTCAAAGAAATGACCTCTATAATCGAGACACAATAAGATTAAAACGTATCAAAATGTGGTTCAAATGAATATATATGTACTTTATTAGAACAAATTTTTACAGCGATGTGACCAGTTTCACTGACATTATGCAAAACCTACTTCAATGGAAAATAAGATTTCTTGCATTGTTAATAAAGACCTTAATCAGAATGAGACTTTATTAAGGCCATAATATTAATTTGTACTATTCAACGACAACAATTCATTCGATACATAATTTTCAACTCCTTACCTCAGACTTCTTTACTCTTCTACCTTCTGCAAGGGTCTTGTCCTTGTTAATGTAAATTGGGTAAACACATACCCAGCTGAAAAAAAAGCAAAATCTCATTAACAAAAAGCTGTAGTGAATTAGTTAATAAAGGTCTCTTCAACGTTATAGTTATTACATGAGCTTGGTAGATGGAAGATTCTTTCATCTCAGGTGACACATTGCTCTCTTGAGATTCTTTAGCATCAGGCTCACCTTACTTTATATATGTGACTATTTAATTTATCTCCAAAACATGCAGATTATGTCTATACAGAAATGTTTTGTATTAGTGAAAATATGCTTTAAACATCAAGACCTCAGCATCTGCTTAGTGCTGCTTGCAAGAATATTTTGTCGAGTTGCAGGGCATCAGGCAACTAACTGGCTAATTGCTAAGAAATAAAAAGTTCTAAGGAAATTCATGTACTTAATAGGTAAAATTTTCTAGACAAATCAATATTTTATGTGTTTATATAATTAGCAACTCTGACATATGGTAGTATCCACAGCTTAAAAAATAATCTCATGGCTGAATAAATGAACTCCTGGCCAATAAAAATTTTCCATGGCTCATATCTGCACTCCTGTTGGCAAAAATTGTTCATGGCTTAGAAAGTAAGCTTTTGAAAAAAGATGACTTTGACTCTATGAAGAATTTTTGGAATGGCATCTATAATTTTATATAAATTTGTATTCTTGAGTGGTCCAACTAGGTCACTGGCTATATACCAAAAAGTTATTCTAGTACAATATGTGGTAAGTTTGGGCCTTGGGGCAGTGAAATTAAAATAATAAGGTGGCATGGAATATACATTGTTGATAACTTCTTAATTCTTACCATGAACATTTCATACACGAGTTTGGGCTCATTTTAAAAGCCGTTGCAACTTGCAAGGGTTATCAAATGGCATCACTGAAAAAATTCCATATGCTATTCGTAAGGTGACAGACCACAGACGCAAATAAATGCATGCCTAATTACCCCTGGGAATGGGGTAATTAGGTACACTTGACATTAAACTTAGTTATACAAATTTTGAAGCATGCAGAGTGTGCTCATCCATTACTAACTACTCCAAAGTCCTCTTCCTTTGTAGATGATGTAGATGTTAATACAATTGGAATCTTGTGGCCTGATCAAGAACTTTTATCAACAATTAGATAGAAGGTAGGCCTAATTGATCTGGCGAAAATCTTGTGGTTCCAGAAATGGCTGGAAAGCTCTGGTTGTGGCCTTAAAGGTAGACATTTTCCACCTGACCAGTTTTCACACTTGCTTGCCATGGCTTCTGCCCAATTTTCCAGTGTGGACTTAGAAGTTCTTAAATTACATTATTATTTGCTTCCTGGCTATATGTTTTTTACTCAAATTTAGATTTCAGGCAGATGTTTTCCTAAAAATAGCAGACAAATATTATCATTTAAATTTTCATGGGTGATTTTCATAAATTGCAGGTAAAAATAGGTAGGTAGTTCTAATTTTTATGGGAGAAATTGGGCCATAGGCAGAGGAATGAGTGAAATTGTACAGATTCATCATGGGTGTCAAATTCATAGGTGGCTTGACGCTTCAGTCTTGAACATTTTTATTACCATTCATTTCACTAATAGACTACCTAGGCTAACAAGTTTCACCCTGCATTAGGATTAAGGCCATATAGTGGCCCATTTAAATTTCTATCGATGAATTTACATTGTTAAAGATGATAAAATAAAACACCATACATGACCAATGTTCACAGTATCAAGTATGCTTACTCTTTGAATCCATCTGGCAATTTTTGGGGCTGCCTGTAAGTTGGAGCGTGTTGAGGTACAGGCCCCACAGCTGCCGTTGCCATTATCTCCTGGTCCTGAGATTAATAATTATTGAGATATAAAATATGAAGAAAACTTTGAAAAACTTAGATTCAGTTCACGGCTTACGCGAAATAAAAAAAGGTTATATTTTAATTATTTTTTATTGTTGGAGTAATGGGGTTATGAACCACAACTTTGTTGTTCGTGACAGACTTCCAATGTCACTGGTCACAGGCAGGAACCAAAACACTGATCCGATGATCCGATCAGCATCCGATATCAGGTACAAAATAATCGGCAAAAAACTTTTTATAATGTGAAAGAATAATTTGTGATTGTAGCTTCGGTGAAATAAAAATATTTTTTGATACTACGTACATATAACGGAAGGTTGGTTTTTTTAGAGCCTACATGGTAATATTAAAAGTTTTTGGAAACCGATCCAATCTACTGCTATATAAGCTAATTTTAATTAATCATACATTCATTGCATGAATAAAGCGAAGCATTGAATCATGTTCAATCTTCGCTTACTCTAAACATTCGCTATAGGCGATAGAATATAGACTAATGACGTGTTATGTACGCTATCCTGTACGTAGTATAGAGAGCTTGCAATTCGATTGCGAAAAATAATTAATAAGGTAATGTTCTGGTGTCATTTTCAAATATTCGTCAATATCTGGTCTATTGCTAATTTAAAAATCGAAGAATTGTGATTTTGACAAGAATTTTTACAGCTAAGCTGGGACTTGTATTCATAGTCTTCAATCTACCTTAGGTAGCTGACCTTTTTGAATCTTAATTGCTATACAGGATCTACCCGACCATGTACCCGACCTCAGTTCGCAATTCCGGTGTTCACGATTTAAACTCTACTCTTTTGATATGATTCCGAAAGACCTTTATATAATAATTAGTCAGTCGGTAAGGATACAAAACTGATTTACACTAATTATTTTATTTATTTCACTCAAATTTTACAAGATTCCCAAAAGACTATCGAATTTACTATTGTCGTTTACAACGTTGAAATTTTGCCATAGTGAAAATCGATTTCGACTGGATATAGGAGCTACGGGCGGTAAACTAGTTACGAAAACGCGCTGCACTCGGATATTTTAACTCACAAATAAATATTGGGCTACCAAAATATGAAATATAAATTAGACACCACAAACCCCAAAACCACAACAAAATTAAATCTCACGGACCTTATCCACTCCGTCTACGCATTAAGCAATGAATATGTTCAGATAGGATCAGGGTTGTGATTCTTCATTATGAATAATACATGGTTTATCACAATTTCAATGATATAAAACTGAAATGGAATAATTTCAATCCGCCCATCCGATAACCTCAATTGCGTTTTCTAGCGTATGTTATGCATTTAAAACGTAGTTTTGTATCCCAATGACGTAAATAACGTTCTCAAATGTTGCTATTTCATTTTTCCGAACTTTTCAATGTTCCCAATTTTTGTGGGAATTTCAATTCCCAAATGTTGCCAATGTTTGGGAATTTCAATGTTCCCAATTTTTTGGGAATTTCAATTCCCAAAACAAAAATTTCTGTGTTCGCCGCGTAAGTTATGTTTCAGTATATTTACGACCATGCGCCCACACCAGAGTCCATTAGGTCGCGATACTCGACTCCTTATTTGGCATCGAACCAAAATTACTCTCCACTCAAGCCAAGCAGCAAGACCCGCCTCATTTGGCGCGCTTCTGTTACTCAAGTCCCAGTTTGCTCGTAGACCCAGCAGCCGTTGTATTTATTCATCGTTCCTTGTGGGGAAAGTTGGTTGACAAGATATCACTGAATGCCAACCGAAAATTAATATCAGTGTGTTCACTTTTAGTCAGCGTGTTTATTGTAACCTGTTCATATGTTGAGTTTATAGTTAAGTTTCTGTTTAGGTGATGACTGAGGTAAACGCTATTTGAAACATTATCACAGGCTCCACAGCCCAGTGTTGGTGTTCAGAACAAACTTGGAAGCCAAACCTGTAATATCTGATTAAGTTTCAGGCCTTAACAGATAAAAATCGTCATGTCATAACAACGAAAGATTTTTTCTTTGCATCCTAGCACAACGCCTTTTATTTAGGTATAAACAAACAGCGTCTATTGTCACGACATTTAACATCAGTACGTATAGTGGAAGATGGCTTTTGAAGCCCCACAAAGTTGCAAAAGTTATCCTCCGGCGGCATTCAGATCAAAATATGAAAAATTCTTGGCCCCGCACGGACTTCTTTTGCCTCCCAAGCAAGTTTTTAAGAACAAGAAGCTCGGTCCCGCAGCAGAAGATAATCTTAAGAAAGCCTTTATGATCACCGTCAACAAACTCAACAAGAGGAGAGACGTGTGCCCAGAGTGCGGCAAGAAACCCGGTATTTTTTGTAAGCGTTTATTGCATTGTAATGCTTGAAGTTTCTGTTTTTCTGACACTTGATGGATTAGGAAAAATTTATATGGCAGTTAAGTTATTGATTAATCTTTTCTAATTGAATTAACTCATGCTCATCATTTTCACATAAACTTACTTATTATCTACAGATAGAAACTAAATTTCTTGACTAGTTAGAAATTTAGTTGCTTGGCTACACGTAGTAACACAGTAGATTGGCTATACGTGTAGAAACTCAGTTGCTGGGCTGCGAGTAGGAACTCAGTTGCTTGGCTACGAGTAGGAACTCAGTTGCTTGGGTACGAGTAGGAACTCAGTTGTTTGGCTACGAGTAGGAACTCATTTGCTTGGCTACGAGTAGGAACTCAATTGCTTGGCTACGAGGAGGAACTCAGTTGCTTGGCTATGAGTAGGAACTCAATTGCTTGGCTACGAGGAGGAACTCAGTTGCTTGGTTACGAGTAGGAACTCAGTTGCTTGGCTACGAGTAGAAACTCAATTGTTTGTCTACGAGTAGGAACTCAGTTGCTTGGCTACGAGTCGGAACTCAGTTGCTTGGCAACGAGTAGGAACTCAATTGCTTGGCTACGAACATAAACTACAGTTGCTTGGCTACGAGTAGGAACTCAGTTGCTTGGCTACAAGTAGGAACTTAATTGCTTGGCTACGAGTAGAAACTACAGTTGCTTGGCTACGAGTAGGAACTCAATTGCTTGGCTACGAGTAGAAACTACAGTTGCTTGGCTACGAGTGGGAACTCAATTGCTTGGCTACGAGTAGAAACTACAGTTGCTTGGCTACGAATAGGAACTCAGTTGCTTGGCTACGAGTAGGAACTCAGTTGCTTGGCTATGTCGGGCATTCCGCCAACGATCTGCGAAAAACGGCTCCTATCATTATTCTCTGCGATGATCTAAGATTCGTCTCATACAGCCTTTTCTATTCCTCTATACTTTAATTACGAAATAAATGTTTTGAAGAATGCAGTGAATCAATTAAATCTTCTAATTATATATGAATCAAGAAACTCACGATTCATCCATTAATTAAAATGTATATTTTATGCTGTATTTCTCTTTTGATTCCCATTCTAATCTAGGTTATATTTTAATTGTAGAATTATTTTATCGTTGCGATTACTGTTTAATCATTTGCGCTTTCAAATAATCATCCCAGTACTGTGATTCAGACCCAGCTGTAGTCTGCGGCGGGTGTCGGATGGCGCGCTACTGCAGCGAACTCTGCCGAGAGCCCCGACGTCTGGCACACAGCCTCGTCTGCGACGAGCTCAGACAGGAATTTTACGATCAGGTATTGCTGCGGCAAGAAGATATTAATAATAATTATTTAGGTATGATAAGATAATGGAGACAAAAATGACCAGGTAGGCTGCTGCAAGAAGATAATATTGACAAATAGTAAGAATGATGAACATGATCCCCAACAGCCAGAGTGTCTAAAGTATTTCTCAATAAACCCTCAGCAATTATATGTTTTCGCCTAAAATAGTTAAAATAGATCCATCATTATAGTTTCTAAGTAGTAGACCTTCTGATTTAAATACTACACAATCTGTGTAACTGTGGCACAATACACTAATTCAGATTGTACTGCTCTTTAGGTAACCATCAATGCGTTTCGAGTCGCTGTAAAATAAATGCTGAACTCAGCCTCCTCATAATTACCGTTTTCTACTTGCATACTCAATTTTCCTAACTTGATAAAAAAAACATATTTCAGTTGCTTGAGTGCTTGCCGGACCCATTATTACTGGGCCGTGAAGTCCTGAAAGGCAAGGGAGGTTATGTCAGGAGTTGGAGTGACTGGTTCGACACGCACACAAGTCTGCGGGACAACGTCAGGTCGGCAACGAGTGTCGTCTCGCAATGGTGGGACTACACTGGGACAAAGCATCCAGGCAAGTCCTCTGTGAAATATCTCAATGTTGCTGGTCAATTCAAAAACATAAAAACATAATCTCATCAATACATCAGGAGCAACTGTACTGCAAGCGTCACCGGATAAGTCGGTCTGATCTGACCATTCATTGCTCGCATCTATTCCATCGGGAAACAAATGACAGTGATCATTAGTTATTAATGCATTAATAACTCAAGAGCCGCTGTACTGCAAGCATCTCTGGGAGGTCGGTACTTCAATTGTTTGATAGGACCACTCATAGCTTGCATCTATCCCAATGACACTGATCATTAGTTATTAAATGTATTAATAACTCAGGAGCCGCTGCAAGCGTCTCTGGGGAGGTAGGTACTTCAATTGTTTGATAGTACCACTCATAACTTGCATCTATCTCATCGGGAAACAAATTAAACTGATTATTAGTTATTAATGCATCAATGCTTCAGGAGCCACTGTAATACAAGCGGCTCTGGAAAGGTCGGTACTTCTCCTACTTCAATTGTTTGATAGATCCACTCATAGCTTGCATCTATCCCATCGGAAACACATGACACTGATCATTAGTTATTAATGCATCAATACTTCAGGAGCCACTGTAATACAAGCGTCTCTGGAGAGGTCAGTAACAAACATCTTCTCGACGGTCCTGACCATCGCCAACTCGGTATTTTGGCTACGGCAACCTGAACTGTTCGGTGGCGTGGGCCCGACCAGCAGTGAGGTTCAGGAGCCGCTGCTTGACGCTGACGTCAACATACACCTGATCGGGGCTGACAAGCCGGAAGTCACTCTGGTGGAGTCAGGGCTCATCCAGGTTAGGTCAAAGTAAAAACGTAATACTATGCAATATGTGTTGCGAAAAACAAAGCTTGTATCTTTGTAAAGAAAGTTACCACACGGTATAAATTCTTCTGAAAACTGGAATAATATTTGAACTTATATCTAATTTTTTTTTTATAATTTTCGGTAGGTGTGCAGTCGCGTGTTGCAGGGACGGAACGTGAACGTGACTCTTGTGGCTCCAGACCTGACCAGACATCCCCAGACGCTGTCGCTCTCGCCTGCCGCGCCCGCTAAGGTGGGTCGGGTATTGGACAGGTAGAGGTACTGCATCGAAAATAAAAGAATATGATTAGTTTAGAAGAATGACAATCTAAAAATATGATCAAAGATTTCGTCATCGCCATAAACATATTCTCTCTTCATTAGTGATTTAAATTCTAATGTAAAGAACAGTTTTAGAGTTACTTCAAACAAAACAGTATGTGCTTATTTAAAGCGATTTACGATGTTATGTTATTTTAATTTACATTATATATTTTTATATAAACACAAAACCAAAGGCAATATATTTCAGGTAGGAGACAAGGTATCAGTAGGCTGCTACCCCGGCCTCTACCACTCCTTCTGGCACGACCACGTGGATGCCCAGGACCCCAATAACAAAGTGAGACGCTTATATAAGTTTCAAATACCACGAAAAATTCTATTTTGTTACTATAAAATCAATACATGTTTAATTACGTCATACATCAAATTTATTATATTTATTAAATAAACAAATACTTAAGAATTGCAATTCTTTGTAAACAAGTACGTAAATCTAGCGACTTCCCACTCAGTCTACACAACGACTGGCATACTCAGAAAAATATGCATCATATTGTCCAAATAGTGACTCACTTTCTTACCCACAGCGCGAACAGAGAGCGGAATTCGGGCCAAACTGGGTCAGGATGACCCACACAATGGCAAAAAATGCAGCGCTATTTGGTCAAAGTCTCACGTATTTCACTCAGTGCAAAATCTTCACACATTTTAGGCACTTATCAAAATTTATTAATTCGACAAAAATAAATATTCATCTCAGCACACTTAAGAGTTCAACGGAGACGCAACACTTATGATACAGAACGTGATGTTGATATTTTCAACTGCCGGATGAAAACCTGGCATTGCTATTACAAGAAGGATGATTTTTAAATAAATAATAATATTTTCAGTTGCTCATGGCAGATAAATTTTTTGATGGCAAGTTCCATGAGTGCCCCATTAAGTCCACACTCTTTTATGTTCAATTATGTTATCAGCTAGATAAACATAATATAAATACTGTGGTTCAGCTTATTGCAGGGAATGAAGTGAAGGAAAATATATGTAATGGAAAAATTATGAGTATATGGCATCGCATTTTTGGAATTCATTTTCACAGTCGTAATTCATCTCTGTTTTGTTACTCTCAACTGAAGTAAACATATAGATCAATATTTAATTATTGATCTAAGGGGATTATTATATATATCATGGCCAATTACCTTATCATTTATGAACTACATCGTTTGATATAGCATTATAAATAAATAATATGCAATTTTTCAATGAATAACAACTTGCATTAATCTTTTTCTCTGACACTTATTGCACTTTTTAGTCTAACCATAATATATTATGGAGCAATGTCCTTTCGGTCCACTTGTTATCTAGTTATTGCAATCCTAATGGGATTGGTGGATCCTGTGGACAACAATCTCATCAACTGGTGTTGATGAGGATAATTTTTCGTATTTATTGCTGTCTATGGTAATAATAATAATAATAACAATAATAATAATAATAACCACAGTATCAATGATAATGAAAATTATAATAATAAGAACATTGATAATAATAATAATAATAATATTAGTGATGATAATAATAATAATAATAATATTAGTGATGATAATAATAATAATAATAACAATACTAATAATAATAATTATAATGAAAATTGAATTGTATAGGTTCCGCGGCCGACGGTAGCCGTAGCCATACACCCGGGCTGCCACACGCCCGAGATGTGGAGGCTGTGGTTGCCCACTTTTGAGCTGCTGCTCCAGGAAAAAATTCCTATTCTGCTCACGACGTACAACAAGCACGAGCATGACTCCACTCTTAAGGCGAGTGCGAATAAATTTAGCGAAAAAAAATTCATTTAAACTGATAATCGATGAATAAAGAAAGAGATGATAATTTTGAAATGCTATTTAATTTTATTCACTGTATGTACAGATTGGTATGCATTTCTCACGCAAATATTGTCAATATTAACAAAAAATAATTTTGTAATATATCCACGTTGCACATCGGTGTTTCGCAAAAAATGAACATACCTTCATATATAATGCAATACCTTCGTATACAATACAATACTTCGTATACAATACAATACGTTCATATACAATACAATACCTTCATATACGATTAATCCACCCTCAGGTAATGCGTCAGCTGCGACCCTCCATCAGGTTCGAGGGCCGCAACTCGCTGGCGTCGCTGCTGGCCAAGCAGACGCCCTACGAGCCCGACCACGTCTGGGCGTCCAATGCATACATTATTGGGATAACGCACGACTGAACTTGTCGCTTACTTTAGTAGGCTAATTGAGCAGTTATCAGGAACAATGTATGCTAATTAAACAGTTATCAGTTACTTTGTACGCTAATTGTGCAGTTATCAGCCACAATGTATGCTAATTAAACAGTTATCTGTTACTTTGCACACTAATTGTGCAGTTATCAGGCACAATGTATGCTAATTAAACAGTTATCAGTTACTTTGTAGGCTAATTGTGCAGTTATCAAGCACAATGTATGCTAATTACACAGTTATCAGTTACTTTGTACGCTAATTGTGCAGTTATCAGGCATAGTGTTCAATAATTATGCAGTTATCAATTATTTTATAGATATATTATACAGTTATCAAGCATGGTTTACGCAAAAGTTCAGTTATCAGTTATTTTGTAGGTAAATTTTGCAGTTATCAAGTTATCAAGCATAGTTTATGCTAAAAAAGCAGTTATCAGTTACTGCGTGCGCTATAGTTTTCCTTCGTTGAAACGTGTTCACATAGTATAGTTTACTGTTTTTTGTTGAAGGGAATTCTTTTCTGCTTATAACAAAAATCCATAAGTTTGTTCAAAGAAGTGTAGAATGGATAAAAAGCAATTTACTTTTGTCATGAGGGTATAAGTTGATTGTACAAAGGAATAATTCCTAACATCATCCATTAGTGAGGTAACTGGAATTTGGTGTTAATCATACATTGAATTTAATATCTTTAACTGCATTGCTTTTTTCGGTGAGACGTAACAGCCAATGCACATATTTTAACAAAAATCTATTTAACAGCTATTATTAACTTATTAATTTATCCTAATTATCTGTAATTTTTGAATAGTTTACAAATTTTACGGCCAGGACCTCGGTTTTGAATGGTTTATTCATTTTATTCACAAGTAATTTTATTCACAAGTCTATGGGCAGGGTGGCCCAGTGGATAAAGTTCAGAGTACCATGATTGGCGCAGAGAGGCGCGGGTTCGATCCCAGCTCTGTGCGCCAGTTTCTGGTAAGAATCGGCAAGTAGGCCGGGCGGTTAAGCATAGCAGAATTGAAGCAGTGAGTTGCGAGTTCGAGACCGCAAATTGCTGTGAATGTTCTGCGATGTTAAGAATCGGCGACAGGCCTACGGCCTAATAACGCTGAAACCGCTATTATTATTATTTATAACGACCGAAATTTTCTGACGATGCACGCCACGTCCATCATTTAAACAAGTGCCTTGCCAACGAGTGCCTCGACTGACCGCTTACATTGAGATTAAAAATTCGAGCAATTGCAGTGCCGGCCGGCCATAAGCCTCCCAACAATCGTCCATAAGCCACCATTTTTGAAAGGATTGTGGATCCGACTCGTCAAGGTGAATGGGGCAAGTGATGTCCCCCATTCATCACTTTGAATGGAAGAAAAAATAATCCCAAAACGATACTGAATCGAAGAAACACGGAAGGTTACAAATGCACATTAAAATAACGGCTGCACGTCAGCCAAAGTAAAATTTTACTGAGATAGAAAAAGAAATAAATGAGGATGTCTGAGCCTGAAGTTGTATGAAGGGAAGAACAATATGTGCTTCAGAGAAATGTGGAAGAAACGATGATGTGAAGCGGTTTGCTCAGGATATAAATATACCAAATAATGGATGTGATTCTGGATGAACGAGGTGAATGTGACGTGACATCGTCGATAGGAAAGTTTAAAAATGAATTGCGCTGATTCTTTATCTGCCATTTGCCAAGCTTTTGGAAAGTGGTAAAAGAGGTTTTGGAGCGCGAGGCTCTTAGAGAGCTGGAGATGTAAAGAGCTTAGAGATTACAGGTATCGAGGGTCTGTCGCGGAACTTGAAATGTTTCAGCAGCATGACTAAAATAAAGTAGAATTCTCATGTTTACGCTGCTGGGCCTCAAAGACTAAATTTATTAAACACACATGCCAACCCGACGAGCAAAGACATGGTCAACTTTTGCTACTAGCTGGAAATGCTGAAATACTTGAGATAGAATCTGCATTTTTAGCGCATTTTCTCATTTATGGAAAAAATGCACTATTGTGCTCGCCATGTCCGTCTCTCTGTCTGTCCGTCCGTCTGTCCGTCCGTCCGTGACCTCAAGTTTTCGTCGACGAGAAAATGCGCTCTCTGTCACTCACTGCAGTGAGTACTGAGTTAAATTTTTTACTCTAATAATTTGGTTACTTCAAGCATTGGTTGAATAAAGTCAGAATGGCGGGATCTCAAGAGAAGCTCAAATGATGAATGCACCATGAGTGGTTTGTGTGTAATTTATAATTCTCATGTCATGACATGATAAGGCACTTGCTAAACTCCATAAAGGAACATGGGGACTGGTCCAGATCATAAAAAACGGATCACACTTGCTAAACTCCGTCAGCATCATCATCCTCGTAAAGAAAATCAGACCTACTTTTTATAAGAATTTGCATTATTGATAACTGATCTAAATTCAATCCAGCCAATTCTTTATAGAACATGATGGAATTACAACCTAAACTTTGTTTGAATATGCAATTATTTATAACCTCGCATCTCGTTAGTACATGCATGAGTACATGTTCTTCCTGCTAGTCTGGAACCACTGGGATTGGGAACGGATGGAGGGATTCGGATTATCGCAGCGTCAGTAAAGTCCTGACGCTTGGCAAGTGTGGTTGTGTCTCGCTGTGAGTGCTCGCCGGATGACTTGGTTCGCTGCTCGTGTACATTTGGACTGGTTCAAATATTATTTTACGAAATGGATCTAAGTTTTAAATATGCTCTGGTAATACGTATTTAAAAACCTGTGGAATTTGAACCAGCTTGTTCGTGACCTGTGTCTGCAAGTTACCAAGCCTGTCCTGATTGCTAGGTAGGTACAATTAAAACAGGTAATCGATTATATTTAGTATTTTAACCACTAAAAGTTCTTCTTTTCTCATGGAATAATTTCGTTATTCAAGTATCTTTGATCACTATTGACAAATGGTGGTTGCACTATTAGTACAATTAGTAATAAAGAAAACTTTTAAGTGACATTCACACCTGTCTCTGTCAGGAATCAGTCATCTAATTCTGAACTTTTAAGACAAATGCATGTTTACTGACTTATTCTTTTTTTTATTGTGTCAATAATTGTTGTATAGCGTTGGCTTTATTAATGAGTTAGTAGATTTTCCAATCTGATTAATGATATTTACGTCTGACTTGCACTTGTACCGTCAATTACTGAATTACGAGTCGCCAGCCACAGTTGCCAAAACTAGAGACGTATTACATACTGAGCAGTGGTCGGAAACGAGTTTTGTAGTGATTGAGGAAGGGAAAGAAAAATAGAAGGAAACGAATTCTTGACATGCGTTTTTGTTTAAATCTAATGGTAAGGTATTTTTTTTCTTTTATATGACTGCGACTCAAATGCACTGGTGACTTGCGCGCCAATGGAGTTGGTAGTGATCATTTATCTAGTTAATTTGCTCACTACTTCCTCTACAAATTAGGTACGTTCAATCTTATTAGCCTCTGATGTAGACGTCCTTCTCATTAATTACGTATCATCGTTCATTGTTCGTTTAGAAATTTGATAAATGTGCCAAGAATGAACTGTTCGGTTATTAGCTTTTTTACTCCTTATATTATCTATTGTCCGAAAGTAACCTTATTCCGACACCAGTGCAGTCTTAAGTCCTTTATCTCTATACCCGTATTTACGAATAATCTCGTATATTTACCATTTTATATGAGCTGCTAATGCACTGGGTTTTGTAGCTATTAATTGGATTTTCAAGTTTCTATTATATTATTCTCTATAACTTCTAATAATGAATGAAATCAGCTAATGCATTCTACTTGAAAATTGTGTTGTGTGTGTCATTATCATTTGTTATACAAAACATTGTTCAGTTAATTAATTAGCTCAACTAAAGACTTCAATGCTTGTTCGTAGTCAGGCTACCCTGCTGATTGGCAGTGTAGGCAAACCCACTTTTAATGTGCAGCCTGACATGCCATTACCAAGTGCCTCTAAATTCTCCAGACTGGATTCCTGTCATTTTGTTGGTAGTGCATTGTCCTTTCGGCGGCGCTCTAAACCCGTTCAGGCGCCCTTAGTTCAAACTTGAAATTCCGAGCTTGCTGGCCCTCGAGCCTCACATGTGGGGTAGTGAAATGTGGAATATCGCGATTGTGATGCATTTTACTTTGAAGACATTTACAGCAGGCCAATTAGGCGGCATCATATTTTAACCTTATCATTTGGGGAGTGCGGGTATTTGTAAACGAAAACTTCCTGCCACGATTTAAATCTGAACAGTTTATTAGAAAGTAGTTACTTGAAATATTTTTGCATATGTTGAAGTGGAGTGCAAGCATCTTGTGGCAATATGAAGCCGAAAGATAATCTCAGCTTATGTAAGCAAAATTTTATTAACGATTTACTGTTTAGCCGTGCGTTGCCGTTAAATCCAGCATTTGTTACAAGTGGATTTAGGCTGGGTCTACACCATACTGCCGGGCGTGTGCCAGTCATGACCCAGTCCAATATTCTCTAATTCATTTCTATATAAGCATTCATACCAGCCCTGCAAGGCACCTACCGTGCTCAACTGCTCATGGTGGGAATGCTTCTATGGAGATACATTCAAGAATTGGACCGTGACTAGCATAAGCTTGGCACATGCCCGGTAGTATGGTGTGAACCCGGTCTTATGACGCACATAACACCACCAGGGCGGTAGAGTGCACGAACGATGTACTATCAATCGTGGACTGTAGATTTGATGAAGTAGTAGATTTGATGACGTCCATAACACTATCATCGACGTTAGAGTACACGAACGATGTACTAATAATCGTGTTGCTGACCAAACGCTGCCCCTAAATCTTGCATTCTTCCTGCTGATAATTACGGATTGTTTGCAGGTAATTACGGCCGTTTTATGTGGCCGTCTTGTGCTGTTCTCCGCCTTCTAGAATTCAGTAAAAAAAAACAGCGTGGGGCTGATCGCTCTCAATCTCTATCGCTGTTCATTTTGCCTCCTGATCCGGCGGGTTTTCGGCGAATTGTAGTTATGAGGTGCAAGTCGTGCTTTGTTTTCAATTTTTATTTGTATTGCTCAATTGCAACAAAAAATTTAAATTTGCTCGATGGCAACACAACTGAAGATTTGCAATGTTGGTCTTCAATTATTTACCGAGAAGATAAAATTTCATTGATATGCATTAGTATTCGAAATAGCTCACATTATCCCCAATAATTTATGGGAGCAATTTTTGCGGTTTAAAAAATTATTTTATAATATACATGGAATTTCAAATGATGGAATTTCAAATGATACGATAATTTTGTCCTGGCGTCTGAAATATCATAGTATTTAAAGGCGTAAATGGCGTTTGATTGGGTTTGAAATAAGAACTTTTATATCCAGTTTTGTCATTAACTATTTCGTATATGTACGTACCTATATCACTAGTTGCGCAGTCACGTTTATTGTGGTCCTTGTTTGTTTTTTACCATACAAGATCTTGAAGAAGCGTATATTAACCGTCACAGATAACCGCGCTCTTCTTATAAACTTGAATATGAAACGAGAAATTAAGGGCCATCGTATGCGATGAATAACTTTAGATGTGTTTACCAAAACAAGTAAGCAGAGAACACGAGTGCTGCTCCATTGCTTCAGCTCGCTGGAAACATCACTGACTGGAATAGAAGCCTGTCGCTTCGTTGGAACTCCATTGTTCCCTGCGCTCTGGTGAACAAAAAAAAAAGCTTGAAAGAAAACTAGACAATCTGTGAAAGGGATATTGATAAAATCTTGAGGCATGACGGCGGTGAGGAGTGAAGTTTGTGAGCAAGTCATTCTTAATCCTTTGGTGTGCGAAACACTTGCACCTGATGATTCAGTTACGACCAGATTCAGTTAATTGGAGACTAAATAATTTAATATTATATGCTGCTGGGTTAAAGTAAGAAACTTTTTTGGTACTCTGTGCCGAGAAAGAAGCGAATATTTTCATTGCCAGATGAGATATATAAGGTAATAACCAATGACTTATTCGCAGTTTAAAGTCGAACATATCGACGCTGTTACTCATTTTCTGCTATAGAACCAACCCTGCACGCAGAGAAATTATTTGGATATTGTCCAGATAACGATGGACTTTTCGCCCTTGTATAGGTCAATCGGGTTCAGTTTAGCCGGACCCATCAGTACTGCGTCCGCAAAATTGTTTCGATATTTGAATAAGATTACCCATCCATTTTCCTGCGTGTGGGTTGGGTTGGTTTCAGGAGCTCTAATGCCTAAGCATATAAAATTTTATAACTGTTTTCTAAGGCACAATATCTGCACCGATTTACATAGCTCTAATGTCTAGGCATATAACGTCTTTGCCGTCATTGTATAACTTTTATTCCTGTGCCTAATACCTGCATCGATGTCAACATCGATATTGACATCGATGTTGACAATAAATAGATCAACATCTATTGATCTATTTATCTAAATATCGACATCTAAAATAGATCAACATCTATTGTCAAAAGGTATAACATCTTATCCATTATTTAGCTACGAACATCTTAGCGCGGCGACCCAGACTCAAGTTAAGCTTCTTAAGCTCCCAGCCAACTGCTGGTAGCCAATATACTTTCGATTTCTTGAGGAGGTTGTCGGCCATGTGACCATGTCCTCGACGCTTCATTTGCATTGCAGGCTCAGCTCACCACCATCGTCCTGCAGGATAATCCTTTTATAATGCCTCGTATTTACCCTGGCAATTCTGTGCCCATCTTTTGCTAATGATGGGCCTCTTGCATTTAGCAAGTTATTGCATCATTAGATGGTATTAAGTTTTGTGATGAAATATAGAAGATATTAAGTTTTGCGATGAAATATAGAAGATATTAAGTTTTGTGATGAAATAGAGAAGAAATTAAGTTTTTAGATGAAATATAGAAGATATTAAGTTTTGTGATGAAATAGAGAAGATATTAAGTTTTGTGATGAAATATAGAAGATATTAAGTTTTGTGATGAAATACAAGGTATTGGGAACCTAATTGTTGCTGTGCATTCCTTGCACAATTGTTTTGTTCCATCTGTGAGCATATTAATTAGAATATTTGTGAACAATTCATGCGTACCTGGGAGGCCTATCATTAACTGGGATGCGCACCTTTAGAGACCTCTGTTCATTTTTCTTAATGCGAGGATTTTTTACGCCTTGTTTCTCTGTATCTGATTTAAGTTAAATGAATGTATTTTTTAATTAATTTCGGTCTACGCTCATTTAATGCATATCTAGTCTAGCATTATAAAAACGTATATGTGTTTATTAGTGTAAAAATGATAATTTTTGTCATTGCACAGTTTTTTAATGCATTGATGTAGTTAATTGATGTAAATTATGACACGAAGATCCCTTTGAAGATCCTTTTATTTTGATTTATAGTTAACCGAAAGGTTCGCATTTTCTCTTGTGCAATGACGTAAAATTTGAGGTCTTTTCAGTTTCCTATCTATTCATTTATTTGTATATGATGGTAATTTTGACCCGAGCCACCCTTCTAAATTTGACATATTCTTAATTCGAAGTGGCTTCATCTAATGAGAGTTTGATGAATGATTATGCAGGCATAAATTACAATGAACGCTTCTGGTCGTGCGCAGTTTACCCTAATCATGATTCATCACAAACCAGAAAAAATTAAAAGTTCAACATTACCTTCTCATCACCGCGTGTATTTGGCTGGAACCAACGATCATTTGTCTTATTCTTGAAGTCGGTAAAAAGTTTTCATGCCGCTGCCCTTCTAACACACTCATAAACCTTGGGAAGGCCACGCAAAAGACCATTGAATGCTGGACCT